GCTCCATTACAACCCTTACCTTGTCCTGCTCGACCGTTTGACCGTGTTGGTATTGATCTGTATGGACCTCTTCCGATTACACCGGCTGGAAATCGCTGGGTAATCGTCGCTATCGATCACCTTACGCGCTACGCAGAAACTTCACCACTCTCTTCTGCGTCAGCCAGTGATGTTGGTCGTTTCATACTGCATCGGATCATTTAACGTCACGGTGCACTACGTGAACTCTTGAGTGACCGAGGGCGTGTGTTTTTGTCGGACGCTGTCGAATCGCTTCTCAAAGAATGCCAAATCATTCATCGCACCAACACCACGTATCATCCTCAAACTAATGGCATTACAGAACGATTCAACCGTACATTAGGAGATATGCTGTCAATGTACGTCGCAACCGATCACACCAATTGGGACAGTATTCTCCCTTTTGTAACCTACGCGCATAATACTGCTGTCCAGACAACCACTGGTTTCTCTCCATATTTCCTTCTTTATGGTCGCGAGCCCTCTTGCACGCTAGACACCATCCTTCCTTACCACCCGGATGTTGCTGAGTCGACGACGATGTCACAGGCTGCTAAATACGCGGAAGAGTGTCGTCAGCTTGCCCGTTCCTTTACAAGTGCTGAACAGCAACGCCAGAAACACCACCGCGATAGCCCACATGCCTCCGGCTTCCTATGCATCAGATGACCTTGTCTGGCTTCGCATCCCTTCAATCAGCCCTGGTCTCTCAACGAAACTGATGTATAAGTATGATGGACCTTACCGTGTGGTTAAACAAACTTCACCCGTCAATTACATCGTGGAGCCGCTTGAGCAGCCCCATGATCAACGACGCCGTGGACGCGAGACCGTCCACATAGACCGCCTAAAACCGTATTACGATCCCTCTATTGTCTCCTGCCCATGAGTCACCAGGATGGCTCTTTTTCGGAGGGGAGGAAAATGTAGTGAAGAAGATGAGTGCTACTCAGAAAGGCAGGGGGTATGACTCAGTCGGTGAAGAAGACGACGTTTGGTTGGCTGGGGACTCGGGCTAGTTCCGCCATTACCGCTTGACGTGTCGTGGCCGCTCTCCTGTTTTATAAAAGAGCGCCTCATTATACATGTCTTTTATTTATTATCTTGTGAATGCAGACAAGGATCGCACACCACATTCGACAATTAATGACACGTCAAGTTCTGCTGTCTGAAAAACGGTCTTCTATGAGACAGCCCTATTCACTCCATGCAAGGGGCCTAGCGAAGGAAACCGGTGTGCCACTTGAACACCGTTTGATGGCTCCCACAGCATGCCTGCCATCGTGGCAGTGGCAGACGATAGATTGCGACGTGTCTTTCTTGAAGGTTACGAAGCACGCACTAATTGCACATATTCAGACCTTCCAAGAACTACAACAGAAATACTCATGTTCTTAGTTCTTTACGGATGCCTCAAAGACCAACACTTTTCTCTCGTATGCAGCCGTTGGCCCATCCTTTTCGAAAACCGGCGTTCTGTACCTTGATACAAGCATTGTCGCCGGCGAAGCTTATGCAATACTTGCGGCTGTTTCACATTAAACAAAACTACAGAAAGCAATAATATATACAGATTCCCTAAGCTTAGTAAAAACTCTGGAAACTGTTAAAAAGCACCGAAACCCCGTCCTTGTCTCACTTTACTCACTTTTATGCCAAGTCTACTCATCCAAACAGCATGTTGCAGTCTGCTGGGTGCCAGGGTACCGCAAAATACAAGGTAAAGTTTTGGTATACCAGCTAGCTGGATCTGCCATTGAAGCCGCTACCAATACATCGATACCGATTCCTGCACTTGACTTGAAACCTTTTCTAAAACAAAAGCTGAGGGGTTATTGGCAGAGCACATGGGACACACACACAGGTAATAAACTGCATGTTATCAAGCCGCAACTTGGACACTGGCCACCAGTATCAAAATCACGCCACACAGAAGTAATACTTGCAAGGTTAAAAAGGAACATACGTACACTACACATTCATTTCTTTGGTATGGTGGTGATCCACCTTTGTGTGACAGATGTGGAGACGTACTCACCGTACTTCACATAGTCCAGTGTAAAGAATTAGACAAGATGAGAAGACAACACTTTCCATAACCCTACTGGCAGCAGATACCACTTGCAATGTTCAACGGTAGGGAACCATTTTACACACATAAAACGTTAGCTTTTTTGAGAGACGTACGTACCTTTCACGTCATATACCCGGGCATTTTGTAGAATGACCTCTCCAGAGAGGTTTCCGCTGCGATGACTACAGTGAACAACGTACTTGCCTCGCCGCCCTTGGAAGTAAGGGTGTGAACGATCAAGGTATTTGCACAGCGCAAGACTACGAGTAGTTACGACGTAACTACAGAAGAAGAGACAAGGACAGAAAGAGCACTCTTTCTGTCCTTGTCTCTTCTTCTGTAGTTATGTCGTAACTACTCGGAGTCTTGCGCTGTGCAAATATGTTGGTTCCTAATCACCAACTAGCCCAAGCATCTGTCTTATCAACGATCAAGGCACTTGTGCTAATGCCATACATGCCCACCATGGTTTTCATTAACATAAACTTTCGCCATCCATTGACACCACACATATTTCAAACATAGTCATGATTTTATTACTTCTATGTTTTTACCTGCCTTAGCGTGAGGAATTTTAAGGCCCTTATACAGCCGCTTATCACAATCATTGTGCACATTTCTAGTCCCATGATCTGGCGCTCTTTGCCCCACGAAATAGCCTTTGCGCCACAAAACACCAAATGTCATCATCATCATGAGATAACTTATGGGATGTACTTGTATGTGCACACGTATTATCTACGAAATGTCAACACGTAAAATAGCCTAGATTTGGGGGTTGCCAACCGTTTAAAAAAGAAGGCCGAGCTACATGAAGCCGACACACGGGGGTGGCGCGAAAAATTGGGACGGGGAGGTTAAATCAAGAAACTTCAGCACAGCGTCAAGCGAAAGTGTCGCGTTGCCCTGTTAAGCGCGGCCATCTTGTTTTTTGCAGCGAAAGCTGTTATGACATCAGAACACAGGTCACGTGGGGTGCCGTGTTCAGACACCACCGCCAGTGTCTGTAACCTATATCGCAGGAAACAAGAAAAAAAGTCTCAGGATATCCGGAGTGAATGATGATGATGAGTGGGGCGAAGCGCTGGAGGGTTTCATCGCTAAACCGTAAACAATCCATGAATATCGCCCACTAAATCATGAAAGACGTCACAAACACTGTATATATTTATTCAATAAATTTTATTTTTCGTGAGTGGTAGCTATATGTTGCTTCCGTTTCCCTTTCATTATAACAGCTTTATGGTTGGTGACGTGGTGGATCAGTCATGGGGCGTAGTGGGACGTTTGCAAGGATGAAGTAGTGGGCAGTTTGCAAAAATGGAACTATAAGTGGTCACGTACTAACTAGGGATAGACACAGTGGAACAATCTATGGTTCTTTAACGCGCACCTGGATAAAAGTACATGACCATATTGCATTTCATATTGGCAACTTCTCAATAGTATTTGCTTTATGGTCTGTGATGTGGTGGATCGGTAATGAGGCGTAATAGGATGTTTTAAAGGACGAAGTAGTGGGCAGTTGGAAAAGGTGGAACTATAGGTGGTCACGTGCTTACCTACAAGGGATGGACAGACCCACGCCATTAGGAGCTTCGTCCCGAAAAAAACTCGGTAGAAAAAAAAAAACAATTAAGTACACAATGGGACTCGAACCCGAGTTCACTGCGTGCCAGTCAAGTATCCTACCACTGAGACACTTTTTTTTTATTGACACGCTGGCGCTGGGATCTGATTTTAGAACAAGCCGTAGGCACGCTTAATGTTTTAGAACATCAGAAATACAACCAGGTGTCACAGAATGCGAATCGCATAGAGTGGGTCGTCCAGTGATCCAACCCATTACAAAAGCTTGTTCGCCTATTAACTTCGGCGCATACCCACTTCAGGCATAATTCGTCGTCAGCCAGTGAATAAAATTTTTGCACAATATTCCTAGAAGGTGTGTTGTGGATACCACGCTTCTCTGGCATAGTGAATGCCAGAATACTACACAACAATTATTTATGACATAGTGGGTACCCAGCAAGTGTGCTTGTAGCAGTTACTCAGAAAGTTGAGAAAAGGCTCTGAAAAGCTGCTCTCCGAGATTTCGCTGTGACAGTGTTGCGCGTTCCGCTCAGACCTGGAGTTTTTTTGACCATGGTTACCAGCACGCGGAGCGCGTTTTATGGAGTTGCTGAGGCCGGCAAGGAGAGAGGTTTTACGTTACGAAAAGAGGGTGGCGCTGGGGCGGGATGTGGAGAGTGGTGAGATGAAAGAGTCGCCAAACTCTACCGAAGAATATCCATGGCTCTGGGTCACCCCTACTGGTGGCGGCGCGGCGGCCTCCTGGTGCACTATGCTCGTTACGCCGTGTCCATTCCATGCAGAAACCCTCACCACGAGTTTTCATCGAGTGGACATAACAAATGGTGGTAAGAAAAGTAAGAGGAAAAAGGCGGAGAGAGGGCAGTACAGAAATAAAGAAACTGGAGAAAGGTGAACTGAATCTGCTTTCGCCTGGCAATGTCGCTTGCTTGCCAGCTCCGCGGCTTACGCAAATTGCACAAGCGCAGAACGGCTTTTCATTTTTTTGTTTTTCATCATTGTGCGTGAGAGCTGCGATAGATGCCAGCAGTGGCTGCAACTAAGCTATCATAATCTGCTCCTGTGGATAATTCATATCAGATATCGCTTTATAAGGCTTCGGTGCAAGAAAAGAATTACATTCACAGAGTATAACCTTTGTTTCTACGTCGATCAGAAAGAAAACTATGCTCGCGCTAACAAAGAAAAACGTCTTGCGCATAAAATGCATCAAACTCGTTGCACAGGAATACGATTAACACACGTAGACTTACCAAAAACGTATTAACCATAAACAAGAACAGTCGCCGTTTATGCCTCGTGTAAGAGGGAACTACGAGTCAAGCGGCAAGAAGTGGCATTCCTTGTGCACTATTAACGGTGAACTCCCGTCACACTTGAAGGCTCGCGAAAACTCTCGGGAGTGTTGCAGGAGTCTGTTGCAACTTTCCAAAGACCAAAGACTGCCTTTCTTCGCGCACAGCACGCGACAAAGCGTGATGAAGAACACCTTCTCTTCGGTGAGTTCGCTAGTCAGATTAAATTGAAAAGTGTTTCGGAGGTGCTCCACGAAGACAGAGTGGATGATGTGTAGACCCACTACGGCTGACACGCGAGCAGGGGCGGCGCAGTATTTCTTTTGTTTGAGGGCCTCTGCCGACTGCTCAGACAGCCAAGATCCGGCTACGTCGAAGCTTCCGTTGGGATGCACGTATTGCTTATGTTCGTCCAGCGAACTCAGCAGGAACGCCATGAAGAACCAGCCGAGACCACCGTAGAGCATGCTGGGAGTGCCGCTCATCCAGTACAAGGGTCTGGCGAGGGCCGCCATGGCGATTCCGACAGCGTCTTCAAACGAGTCGTAGCTGGCGAGGTAAGGGGTGAAGTTGGGCTGCATCGAGAACACGTCTTCCTGGCGCTTTCCGCGCAGAAGATCGCTAAGGCATCGACGAGCGCTTATCCAAAAACTCACGAAGGACCGTTCGCTCTGAGGGCAGCCGTTGTAGAGTCCCTTGAAATCGAGCGAGTTATTGACAGTCGCTGGCGGCCAAAGGCGTACGACGGTTGACGCGAGCTGCCGCTTGAAGAACTGCCTGGCGGCGTCGTCCAGCCAAGACATCCTGCTCACACCGTCGATGGCCTTCTGTTTGAGAGTTCCTAACAGGGAGGCCGCTAGCGCCTCTCCCTTCTGCGTGATCCGAGAAGACATGTAGAGCTTTGCTAAGACCGGGTTGTAGATTGCCTCGACCTGCGCCGCGCACAGCAGAGCCAAGTAACTCGCCGCGTACGTGCCGCTTCTCAGGACGTCTTCGAGCAGCGTCTTGTCGAGGGCGAGCACGTGCATCTGAACGAATTCCCAGGACAGGAGCATGAGGGCTGCGACGTCGCCGAGGCGCTCGACGTAGCCTTTGATGACGAACAGGGCCGCCGAATTGGCGACTAGCACGTCGTCGCCGGCGGCCACTGACTGGTCATTTTCTCTGAGCGCCTCTAACCACATGTCGACGCTTCCGTGGGAGGACGCGTTGGTTATGCGGATCAGTGAGGCATTCGTGTAAGACCTCAGCATGGCCATCTGTATGAGTATTGCGACCGCGTCACCTTGGGATTCGGCGCTTTCTTTGATGACCATCTCGTACTCGGGACCAGGTTGCTCACCCATAAAGAAATGGTAGATGAGACCCCAATACCTGGGCATACATAAATTCCACAGCAAAAGCGTGAAGTGCGATCAGAGCGTGTAGCGATTAACCCGAGCTATCCATGTATTTACTTACATCGCCCGTATGCAATGTCAAGTCGGCAGGTCCTTTGGGAATTGAAATAAATAAACAAAGCTAATTTTTGGAAGGCGTTGGGTAAGTTGCTCGCATTAAAATAAGAAGGGAAGCTTGAGGCTGAAGCCATTGTTTCGAGAATTGTTTCGACCGAATAACCAAAAGTAGAAATAGAGCGTGGGTCGTTAGCCACACGGCGCATACGCAGCGCGGGCATTAACATAACATGGCCTGTGTCTAGTCTAATCCTCATTCGGCCACGTGTGGCGTATTGTGCATTTGCGACTACTGTGAAATGTTGTTGGTCTTTCGAACACGCACACTCAAAGTGGCCTGAGAACCTAGTGTTCTGAGCCCCCAATTCCAGAACCCCATAAGCGCGGACTGACGACCTTTAAAACATGCCCTTCTAGTAATCTCGAGGGTGATACTGAGGCCCATCCAGGCTTTTCATATCACCTGTGGTAAATGGTGCATATGATTAGCTCGTCGTTAGTACGCTAAAGGCTGTATGCTGCGTGGTCGGATTGTCTAACGCGGGGCTCTGCGGAGCAAGAGTTCGTAGGTGCGCTTCGCAAAATTTTTATTTTGAAACACACACAAACACACACACACACACGCACACACACACACACACACACACACACACACATACATATATATATATATATATATATATATATATATATATATATATATATATATATATATATATATATATATATATATATATATATATATATATATATATGGGACATTGCGGCGATGGCAAAACACACCGAGAGTGTCCATTTGATTGATATAGCATAGTAAAAGAAGCGCAAACACAACAGATGGAAATCTCAGAACTCTTTAACACGAGTAGTTGCAGGATCCAACGTTTTGTCATAAGCGTGATTCCACGTAAGGTCCAACAAAGCGTTGTTGCCTGATGAGTGGAAAGAAGAGATCCGCAATTGGTTTTACCGAAAAAAATGGTTGAAGCACAGCCAATCAATAATTTCAAAGAGGTGGAGTGCTACACTTACTGGCTCTGCTGTTTTTTCGACCGTGGCGAATAATTGCACAAAATATACTCAAACGACATACCTCAAATTTGTTTAGCTAAATATAGATGAATTTGGGCTTATGTTCACATATTTTTCGCTTCTATGGGTATACACCTTTTCACTGTAAGGAAAAAACACCGCCATGATGGGCTGTGCGCGGGAGTACAAAGGCTAAGAATGCAGCGTTGCCAGTGCATTTTCGAGGGGATGCGCCAATTTGCACAGCCCAAGGAGGGCTATGGCAGCGCCCAGGGAGGCGTTTATGAAAAGGTGAATAAGATATTTTTATTAAACATCTCAAAACCGACCCAGCAAACATTATTTTGCCTACTTTGCAGACCTTTTCAAAAAGGGGCTTCGACAGAGTGGTCAAAGTTCCGTATTCCTTTCTCAGATGCTTATTTGTAAAACTGCATAAGCATATCTTATTAACACGTTCCAATAAGCATATACAATTACGCCAACTTCAAGAAAACAGCATGTAAGATAAATTTATAATGACGATAAAAAGCATTTTTGATATTTCTAAAACGTTCCCCGCTGATTATATAGCACGTCAGCTATCACAATCAATAAACACGTGTTGAATAATATGGTTTCGCATGCACTTACGGCACGTCCAATAATGCCCTTGTGCAAGGACAGGCAATCTTAGAATGCAGGCCTATACTTCCCTTTTTTAATAGGAAAGCAGCACTGTAATGGATGTCGACTCCACTGGGGACGCCAATTTTGAAATGATTTGGTCACGGGAGCGGCCATTACCGCAGAAAGAATTAACAAGCAAGCAAGCGCGCACAGTCCGGTGCGTTCCGGTGTGAAGAGGGCTCGTTTTCGTGTCCTCAGTGGGATAGATTGCGACACAGCCGGGGATGAATTCCATGAATGTGCGTTGGAGTGTCGCTATTTTATCCGCTCTTTGCTCGCATCACAGCCACGCGCTGTTAACACGGCATATCAGAAATGCAGACGTAGCAGAGATCGTTTCGTTTTTAAAGACGATAGTCTTTCTTGGGGACCTTCGACGCTAAAACTTTGGTCTGTCTGTCTGTCTGTCTGTCTGTCTGTCTGTCTGTCTGTCTGTCTGTCTGTCTGTCTGTCTGTCTGTCTGTCCGTCCGTCCGTCTGTCCTACTGTCTGTTTGTCCACCGTTACCGCGAACCGTGTATTCTATACAGCACCAGACGATACCTCGAACGCCCGACCCCATCCGCAGCGCCCACCAATGTTGCTCAAAGATCAGCGTTCATACGTGTGGGATTGTCAATTAAAAAGCAATTATTGCGCATATCTGAGGCACCATAACAACACGTATATAGTCTGCATGTTCGTCTTTTACTAGAAAAGGCATACATAAGTAATTCTAAGGACCGTAGCGCTTATCACGTTGCGCTGACCATGCAATGCTTGCACGGAAAGGCGAGTGTTTCGAGAGCTTCGCTAAGACGACATGGTGGTAGCCCCTGCCCGTCGCCCTGCGTTCTACACCTTATCACCTCTGAGACGGGCGCGCACGCCCGTCTCAGGGCCACGCGCTTTGTTTTCCAAAAACAACTGCCAGATGGCGCTAAAGTCTCACGTGTGAGGTGACTTGAGCTCGTTCGCCTCCGCTGCACGTTCGAGGCACTCAAACGCAGCGCCTCCGGAATACCATTCGCCGATTTTCTTGTGCGGAACATCAAATAAATGTTTGTTCACTCTCTCCACACGCAGGATTATCGTCTTTAGACGACATTTGCAGATTACATGCAGATACGGGGCCATTTTTTTTGTGTGTATGTGTTTAAAGGAAACACACACACAAAAAACGCGTCTACAATGCGTATACTTATATATTAAAACAAAAGCGTCCCGAGATGACTGATGTAACTTGGGCGTGGTGGAATTTCAGCGCACGTTCTCGGCGTGTAAACAGAGGCAGTCGGCTACGGTCAGATTCGCCGTCTGTAGCTCAAGTTCCCCGACCGCATCCGGCGTCCACACAAGAAACGCTTCAAGGCGTCGACGGAGAAGTTGAAATTTGCCTTTGTTCCCTCAGTGGGAAGTACCATGAAAATTCTCGTCGGGAAGCTGCGAGCGCTCGATTCTCACAAGGGGGTGACACCGCTTTCGCCAAAGAAACTGCGCTGCGCGAATTCATCTCACTGAAAAGCCGTAAAAGCGGCGCCCTAGGAAACAAATACAATGGGAACAAACGAAAAATAATGGACAACCGAATGCGCCTGCCCATGTAAGATGACGACGGCAGATGACTGTTGCTGATCGTGCTAGAGTGACATAAGGTCACTCTAGCCGTGTGCACAGTCCGCTGCTCACACTTCATCTGATTCCGACAGTGCTCGCGGTTTTCTCTGCTCCTGTGCGTTTCATGGCAATAAATTATACCCCTTAGCAAAATTATTGTGCAGACTACCATTCGAAGCACAAGAAACTCATTTCAAAGAAACGAAATTTTCGTAGAGTTGCCAACTCATACGTCACAGCTTGATGTCCCAGTGCCTCAAGGAACGCCACGCGTACAACAATCATTTCTAATTATTCACTACCGCGTTTATAAGTGCTAATTTGCATTGGCAAGACGTAATTACACAATACGATATCATGCCAAATTTCGGAGTCCTACGCACTCACAAACAATCTTCAAACCCACATGTTAATTGTGCTCAGTCTTGCACAAGATGGCTCTCTTCACACCAGAACACGCCGGACTATGCGCACTTGTTCGGTAATCCCGCACTCATGATCGCTTCCGTGACCAAAAAATCTCAGAATTGGCGTCCTCAGTGCAGTAAACATCTATTTCAGTGCTGCGTTTTTTTAGATGCGGAGCATCTTATACTCGCGCCTTGTAGTGCGCCGTCCGCGCCGTCCGCGCCGTCCGCACCGCTTCTCAAACATTCGACAGCTGACGCGCGCGCATGCGCCGTCGCGCCGTCGCCCACTCTTCCACCATCTGTGCATCCCTTCCTCCTCTACACACCGCGCGCACTTCACTCCTCCACCATCTGTGCACCCTTCCTCCTCTACACACCGCGTTCGACATCTACAATTCTCCTGATTCTCCAGTGGACGCGCATGTGGCGTCGCGCTTCGAGAACATTCAACAGCTGACAGTGCATGCGCCGTCGTGCTGTATATATACTCAAGGTCGGCGCTCGCTCGCTCAGTTGCCGCTCGTCGGTTGGTTTGTACGGCGCGTCGACGTCCAAGGTCGCGGTGAAATGAATTCCAACGAATCCACAAACACAATGATCGACGTCCCTTCGACCAGCGCCGCCCTTTCGCATACGTGTGTACGTGTTCACTCATTTAACACCCCCTCCTACAACCACGTTAACCAATTTAGCCATCGACCCAAGTAAGTCGCAATTTAACACCCCATTTCACAACCACGTTAACCAATTTAGCCATCGACCCAAGTAAGTCGCACTTTAACACCCCGTTAACCAATTATATGGTCCGCATCCTCCTCAGTGTTCCCCCGAGGGAAGCTGCGGGCAATTTTTTAAAACTGAAATATTGGCCTCGAGATTGGAGTGGCGTGCTCTCGCGTGTGACGTCAGTTTGTGGACTCCGCTCTCAGCCGCTCTGCAGCAGCCGCTGCTCTTGTGCGCGGGTCGTCTGGTTCGGGCAAAAACTTTGTCGAACGAACAGCCTCGCGAAGGTGAACTAACGCCCTAAACGAATGGTTTTGAGTGCAATTATCAATTTGTTCACTTGTAGCCCAATCTACATCGCCGAAAAACCTCCCAGATGGCCGATAAGCGTGCCGATGCCGCCAACCGCATTGCTGGTCAGAAAGTGAAACTGTGTATGTCTTCGCTCGTCATCTGCAGTTTCCGCGGTGTGATACTCATTAGTTCGG